AACAGCAGAAGAGCTGGAAGCTCACTTTCATGGCTGTGGTTCAGTCAACCGTGTTACTATACTCTGTGACAAATTCAGTGGCCATCCCAAAGGGTGAGTAGGGGAGTAAGTTGAGATTATGTAGCCACTGTTTAAAATACAGATTGCTTTTCATACCACCACCAGTCTCCAAGCTGGGAGTGGAATGGAAGCCAGGACCTCGAACATGCTAAAAGTATGTGCCCTGCTGCTGAGCTACTAGTGTGAACTCACAATAGTTTAATTTTTAATTTATTTTAATTTTGAGATAAAGGTTATTCTGTATAGCCCTGGCTATCAGCTCTATAGACCAGACTGACCTCAAATTCAGATCCACCTGCTTCTGCCTCTGCATTCTAAGTGCTAGGATTAAAGTCTTGAAGCACTGCTTCAAGCCAGACTTAAATTAACATTTAGTATTTTATAAGAAGCATGTTTTACCTGCGAGTTTATATATGATCAGTGGTTTTCTGTTAACTATCTTCAGAGTCCACGTAATAAAGGCATGTTGGGGGGTGGGTTGTAAGCAAGAAGGGCCGCAGCGCCTAGCTGGCACCAGGTGTGGCTGTATGGAAATCTGGGCCTTGTTACTTTAATTTTTGTGCTGGAAATTGAACCCAGGGACTCGGGGTGTATGCTGGCGAGCACTCTTATCTGAGCCATCACACACATTCACCCGTTTTTCATACTTTTTCACCCAGGCTAGTCTTAAACTTGAAATGAGGTTCTACTGCTTCTGCCTACTGAGTAGCTGGGATTGCAAGCTGTGTTCCCTGTGCCCAAAAGTAGTTGGAAATTTTTATAAATACAGTACTTAAATAATTTAATTATTTTAAATTTTCAATTAACTATTTATAAGTTAGGTTTAACCTGTGAGTTATTTGTAAAATCCAATAAAATGACAAATGATTCTTTCCAGGTTTGCGTATATAGAGTTCTCAGACAAAGAGTCAGTGAGGACTTCCCTGGCCTTAGATGAGTCCCTGTTTAGAGGAAGACAGATCAAGGTAAGCACAGTAAGTGCCTTGGCTGTGGACTCTCTGTAGATCCTCTGCCTTTACTCTGTCTTTCTCTCTCACATCCTTTGCAGGTGATTCCCAAACGAACCAACAGACCAGGCATCAGCACAACAGACCGGGGTTTCCCGCGTGCCCGATACCGTGCCCGGACTACCAATTACAAC